ATAAAATTCAATTGTATTTAGCATTTAAAATGTTGCTTAAATAAAAAGGTCTTAGCCTGGCGCCGAAAAACAAATAACGACGGCGCCAGGCGGACCTCTCTGGGGAGCGCATTCCATAACTTAGGCGCCACCGCTGAGAAAGCCCTTCTCCGAGTAGCCACCCTCCTAATTTCTCTCACGGAGGGCTCCCGGAGAAGGGCCTCTCCCGCCGATCTCAGGGGGCGACTGGGCAAATATGGATGTAAGCGCTCCTTCAGGTAACCAGGACCCAAGCCGTTTAGGGCTTTATAGGTCATTACCAACACCTTGAATTGGGCCCGGACTTCAATGGGGAGCCAGTGAAGCTGACGGAGAACTGGCGTCATGTGAACATAACGTCCAGTCCCCGTCAGCAGCCTGGCAGCTCTATTCTGAACCAATTGAAGTATCCAGACCGTCTTCAAGGGTAGCCCCACGTAGAGCGCGTTACAGAAGTCAAGACGGGAAGTCACCAGCGCATGAGTCACTGTTGCAAGGCAGTCGTTCTCCAGGTAGGGGCGCAGCTGATGAATCAGCCGAAGCTGGAGGAAAGCGCTCCTCGCCGCTGTTGTCACCTGAGCTTCAAGTGAAAGCTCCGGGTCGAGGAGCACTCCCAAGCTGCGGACCTTGTCCCTAGGAGGGAGTGCAACCCCATTCAGGACAAGGTTCAGGTCACCTTCTCCGAAGCCCGAACCGCCAACCAACAGGACCTCCGTCTTGTCTGGATTGAGCTTCAGTTTATTGGCCCTCATCCAGCCCATTACCTCGGCCAGGCACCGGTTCAGTACAGCCACTGCCTCACCTGGATTGGTGGAAAACGAGAGGTAGAGCTGGGTATCATCAGCATACTGATGGGTCCGCAGCCCACACCTCCTGATGACCTCTCCCAGCGGTTTCATGTAGATATTGAACAGTAAAGGGGACAAAATGGAACCCTGCGGTACCCCATGGCAAAGCTGCCATGGCGCAGAGCCATAGTCCCCCAACACCACCTTCTGGAATCGGTCGTTGAGATAGGAGCGGAACCACCGCAAAGCGGTGCCTCCGACCCCCAATCCCGCCAGCCTATCCAGAAGGATACCATGGTCGATGGTATTGAAAGCCGCTGAGAGGTCCAGGAGAACCAACAGGGACGCACTCCCCCTGTGCTTCTCCCTGCACAGGTCATCGTACAGGGCGACCAAGGCAGATTCAGTACCGTACCCGGGTCTGAAGCCGGACTGAAATGGGTCCAGATAATCAGTTTCATCCAAGAGTGCTTGGAGTTGTCCCGCCACCACTCGCTCTAACACCTTGCCCAGAAACGGGATGTTGGCCACTGGTCTATAGTTAGCGGCCATCCCTGGATCCAGTGACGCCTTCTTCAGGACCGGTCGGACTACCGCCTCCTTTAAAGGGGCAGGCACCCGACCCTCCCTCAGAGAAGCGTTAACCACTTCCAAGATCCAGGTTCCAATCCCGTACTTGGAATCCTTTATTAACCAAGACGGGCAAGGGTCCAAAAGGCAAGTGGTAGGACGTACTCGTCCAAGCACCTTGTCCACATCATCGGGCCGCAATAACTGAAATTCATCCAATAATTCTGGACCAGACGGCAGCGTTGGTGTCTCCCTTAAAACCTCTGAATCAATAGTGGAATCCAGCTCGTGACGAATCTGAGCGATTTTCTCCCTAAAATGCTCGGCAAAGTCGTCACAGCGGGCCTTTGAGGGTGGAATCAGCTCTTCCTTTGGCCCTGGGTGAACCAGGCCTTGCACCACTCGAAAGAGCTCCGCCGGACGGCATTGTGAGGAGGCAATGGAAGCGGAGAAGTGTCTCTTTTTCGCCGCCCTCACCGCCACAGCATAGGCCCGATAGTGGGCTCTTAAGTGTGTTCGGTCAGATTCATCCCGTGATTTCCTCCACCTACGCTCTAGCCGTCTCCCAACCTGCTTCATTGCCCTCAATTCTGGAGTGTACCAAGGGGAAGAGCGGGCTCTGCCCGGTGGGAGAGGACGCTTAGGAGCGATCGTGTCTACAGCCCTGGTCATCTCCCCATTCCACAGTTCAACCAGAGCCTCGACAGGAGCACCCGTCTTGTCAGCCGGAAACTCCCCCAGAGCCTTCAGGAATCCTTCCGGATCCATCCGGCTCCGGGGGCGGACCCACACAATCGGGTCTGCACCCTTACAGAGGGAGATGTCGCTCTCGAGCACAAACCTCACTAGGAAGTGATCTGACCATGACAGGGGAGTCAAGCATAAATTCCTCACCCTCAGACCACCCTCTTCCTGCCCCGTCGAGAAAACCAGGTCCAGAGTGTGTCCACGTTCATGGGTCGGGCCGGTGACATGTTGAGACAGCCCCATGGCCGTCATGGAAGCCATGAAGTCCTGAGCCGCCCCGGTCAAACTAGCCTCGGCATGGATATTGAAGTCCCCCAGGACCAGCATCCTGGGGGTCCTCAACACCAGGTCCGAGACAGTTTCCGTCAGCTCAGGCAGGGAGACTGTTGGGCAGAAGGGTGCACGGTACACCAACAGAATCCCCAATCTGTCTCGGTCGCCCAACACCAAGTAGAGACACTCCAGCCCTGGTCTCGAAGGGACAGGAAGTCCCGTGAGAGTGATGGAGGCTCGGTAAACCAAAGCGACCCCCCCTCCCCTCCCCTCCGGCCGTGAACAGTGCTGGACCATATATCCAGGCGGGCACAATTGGGAGAGGGCAACATCCCCCCCTCTCCCGCCCAGGTCTCCGTTATACAGGCCAGGTCAGCCCCCTCATCCACAATCAAGTCATGGATGAGGGCAGATTTGTTATTGGCCGACCTGGCATTAAACAACAGCACCGTCAGGCCCGAGGGGCGACTGACAAGACTCCCTGGCACCTTCTGGCTGGGAGCAAAACCAGAAGTAGGGACAGGTGTCAGCCATCTGTCCCTCCTTCTTCTATGCGGACACGTTAAGCCCCCACCGCTATTATGTCCATTGCCCATCACCACACCAATGGCGGCGCCAGTGCGCTCCCCAGGAAACGCAGGCGGCAACATGGCCAGGGACGACTCCATAAAAACAAGTTAAAACACTTTAAAATTATAAAACATTTAAAATTGGCCGTTCAACAGAAGGGACTGCCACAACAAAAGAGCAAGTCCCCTGGCCAGCCTAGCCCCCCCCGAACAGCCCCCCCAAACGGCGGCAAACCGCCCTTTGGCCGACGCCCTTTCGCCGCCGGCCCCGGCCGCTGCTGGTGCTTTGTAGCCGCGGGCCGCCCGACGCCCCACCCCGTCCGGGCACGCCTGCCACGCGTGCAGGGGCGTGGCAGGGCAGTCAGGTAGCGGCGGAGTCGGCGGCGCGGCGCAGTCTTCGCGCGGTCTTCGGGCGCGTGCGCGGCGCGGTCTTTGGGCGCGGCGCGGTTCTCGGGCGCGGGCGCAGTCTCCTGCCAGGTGTTGTTCCTCCCCAATATGATATACTGTATATTATGCTTCTTGTCAATTTGCTTTAGTCAGTGGGTTCTTCTGAAACATACTATGATCTGTGAATGGCCATAGGTTGATGTCATTAGATTCACATCAACCCACTCAAACTGCAGTAGCTTATGCAAGCAACAGTAGCATAATCCTATTTAGGCACCAAAATTAATAACAATAAGGAAGTCAGAAGGTAGAGATCAAGTTCTGGGCCTGAACTGACCTCTTCCTAAAGGCTGTTACACAAAGGAAGAACAAAAGAGGGGATGGGGAGCGGACATAGGTGGGCACAATGGGAATGCCCCATCTACCATGTGTAACAATTTTATGATGGGCTATAGGAGGGGCTTTGCACACATAAGCTGCAGTCCTATACCCTTTAGTTGGAAGTAAGCCCTACTGAACTCGATGGGTAGACATGGATAGACTGCGCTGCTACTTTGTGCTGGGCAATGCCCAGAACAAAAAAGTTCAGGCTGCGTCAAGGACTGCTGAAGGAATGGCTGAAGCTACGATCAAAACCGTCCATTGCTCAGATCCCTTCCTCAAGCAGTGCGTGGGCAATGCGTGGCCCTTGTGACAGACGAGGCATTTCCCGTACCAGCGAGGCAGCAACTGCTTCAGCTTGGTGGCAGTGGATGCTCCCAGGTGAGCAGCCGTAGCGGACTTTGCCCTGGGCGGATAGCATGGCACTGTCCTGGTTGATTCCAAAATCAGTTTGCAGCTGCTGTCATCTTGGACTAAGTGGCTGCTTCCAGAAGCAACTTCCATGCACATTTCTTCTCTTCCAGTGGGAAGGGGAAGGAATCACATTTTCTTGGCATCAAAATTTGCTGCCCGACGTGTCTTCCCTATACAGAAGCACCCTCTTGAGAAAAAGGCACCTGGATGCCATGGAGCAGTTGACAAGTACTTTGGGGACAGGGCTCAGCACCATGGATAGCCCTTAAAAGTTCAGACTAAAATCCAGAGCAGACGCATTGCCCCACGGACACTGGCCTCGCTATGGGTCCAGCGCCACGGTGCTTTGCATGCAGAAGGCCCTGCTCTGATCCCTGGCAGCTCCAGTCGGAAGGAGCAGGGCTGCGTGAGAGGAAGGGTGCTCTTCTGCCCGAGACCTGGAAAGGTGCCACCAATCAGCACAGGCACTGCTGGGACAGGCACCATCAGGCTCCTTTGTGTAGGAGCAACCCTGATTTTCAGTGTCCAGGGTCCAGGTTTAGCTCCCTCTTAATAGTACTTGCCACTGCCCTTTTCACCCTCTCTAGCGGGCGTCATGATCTCCAGTGCGGGAAAGTAGGCTGGGGGCACGGCTGGGAAACGGGCTCGGCCTTCCCTGGCCAGAAAGGCACTGGGCTGTGCAGGAGGCTCATGGCGAGCCCCACGGTCCTGGCAAGGCACCCCCCTCCTGTCCACACGAAGTCCAGGGACAGCCTGTTTGCTAGGTGGCCCCCTTAGCAGAAGCTTGGCCAGTCATTCATCCGCCATCCATGCAATGCACAGACATCCCCCCAGGCCATGCACACAAGCTAACTGAATGCATAACTTTATTAAATAAATGCTTTGTCATAAGAAAAGACAAAGATCAAAGAGTAACATAAATTATAAGTTGAATAAATAGTATACAGCAATCTTCACTTTTTAATAAAATGTGAGATTCTTTTTCTTTAAAGTACAAAACGCTAAACAGAGCATTACACTCCTCATCCATTGTCAGTTTTTCGCAAACTGCTTTTTAACCCCCCTCCCCCACCGGTACGAGTATGAATATTCTTGTTTACTGCAGAAGAAAAACAAAACAACAAAAATTATCCACAGAGCTACTGTATGTATGTAAAGCTATTCAAAGCTACTGTAAAATGTGTAGTGAGTAATTTTGCATAATGGTTATAACCAGGTAGGAAACTCGGAATCTTGTGTGTGGTGAACTGTGTTACCGTGGGCGAGAACTGCACTGCCCCATGGTGTGGTGGGCGGGGCTTGGAGGGGCGGGGCGATGCAAACCCCGCCTCCTCAAGCGTTAGTGCAGACACTCATACCAGGATGGTGGCCTGGCCACGTCGTGGGCCATCCACTGCGGAAGTTAGCGATGCTCTGTTAGAGAGGGAGGGAAAGAGAAAGAGAGAGTGGAGAAAATAGTGCAATATGCTTTTGTACTAGTGGTTTCAAAATAAAACTGTCCACTGCAGCACTGGCAAGGAACACCTCAGCTCCAGAGGAGGCCTTTGCTCCCCTGGGAGTATCTGTTGCCCCTTCTGGGCTACGTCAGCTGCAGCGGGGCCCTCTAAGAGTTCTTAACAACGTGCTTGATTGCCACGGACCATTGCGGTGAGTGAGCACTGCTTTGAAGACTAGAGCCGATCAATGCTTCCTCGAGCAATTACCCCCAGACTTCCTTGGTGCTTCTACTGTGCACCTCTCTCTGAAGGGAGTGTCCCCACTGCTTTGTCAGTCATCGTTGTTGCCTCCTCTCCCTCACCTTGCTTGGCTATTCTGACAGGAGGACAGTTCTGTATATGAAGAAAATCAAGGGAGGCCTTTTCTGCAGGGTCAGCAGCAGAGGTGGTATCCTGAGCAGGGCTGGCTTGTTGAGATGGAGAAGCCAATGGCATGCGTGTCCTCCTTCCCCCACACTGTTCAAGGTGCACAGTATCTAAGGCAGGTCAAAATATCCTACAAATGGCTTGCCCTGAAAGTCAAAATATCATGATTAATAAAGGGGGGAAAACCCAACTCCTCACAATTTGCTATCCTTTCATGAAAACCCATACCAGCTGCCTGAGGTGGCTTCCATACTCTGTCTAATGCTAAGGCCTGGCCTCAGAAAGATTCAACTGCCTCAATAGTTATTATAGCTGATTTATTTCCCGGGGCACAGATTTTTAAACTTATATGCTTAAACTCAACAGGACATTCTTCCTCTCCACCCTATAACCCTCCAAGTCACCAAAGAACCTGCTTTGAAAGGTTTTCCAGCCCTTTGGAGCAAGTTTTGAGGGAGTACAGTGAGGCCACAAGAAGAATCGTCTCCTGCCCACTTCTGCTGATAGAAATCATTCCATCAGTGTTGATTCCTGTCTGTATTGGTAAGTCCCTTCACTGTATGGCAAGAATGCCCTCTTTCAAGTTGAAGGGCACTGGGGTACTATGATACAGTTTTTATTTCATCATGGCCATCACCATTACCATTATTAAGATACTGGGACCCCACCAATGACTGATGATGAGTGAGATCTTGGAGAATGAGTTGCCAGAAATGCGCAATGTCTCATATGGGGTCCAATGTCTCACAGAAGGCAAATGGACTTGGATACTAAGGGACCAGAGGAAGGATAAAGATGCAAGACTTTTAGATGGATAGCCCTTGAGTAAGAACTTCAGAACTTTGCTATTGTTGCTGTTGTCTAAACTAGCTTCATTTGGAGTAGATTAATTCCCCCATAGTCTCTGACACTAGCTGTTCAAAATCTACAGGTTGGAGACAAAGTCTTTCTACTAGTTCTTTGTTTCTAGCTGTGTATTACATCTTTTATAGCTTTTTGTTCCCAGGATTTTCACCAGCCAGTTTGTAGTGCAGTTTTTCAGTTGCTTCTAAACTGCAATCAGACTCAGTCAAGGTCATGCCACTGGTTAGCTGCTGCCCTTTTAAAGGCACACAGAGCTGCCCTCTTAGTTTGGGTTCAAGCCCAGAAATGTTAACACACTTGCTGGTGCCACCTGACCTTGGGAGAACTCTTCACTGGAGACAAGTGACAGCTGGGCTCAGAAAGACCTGACACCATTCCAGGGTCCACCTCTAGGGCTCTTCCTTAGAATCTCCTCCAGAACAGTAGCAATTGTGCATGGATTGGGGAAGTGGCTTCCTGGCCATTCAGCTGAGACCTTGAGTGCTGCTACAGGTCATCAAGAGGAGTCGGCTTTCTAATGACTGAAGCCTACATCTAGGTGGCAATGCTCTTCACTCTGAGTCACCTTTCCTGGTGGCAATATCTGTATGCCATGCGTGTCCAACATGGGAGGTCAAGCAACTCTGATATCCTGTATCATCCCTAGATATTGCCGGACTTCAGCTTTCATCAGCCCCAGCCAACATAGCCAATGATGAAGTATCATGTGCAACTGTAGTCCAACAACATCTGGAGGGCCACATGTTCCCCACTCCTGGGCTACTGCTTAAGAAGGGCTTTTATTTTGTATGCAGGGAGATGTTTTCAAGTTTCAGGAAACAGCAACAACATATATAGGGAGGGAGGGAGGGAGGGAGGGAGGGACAGAAGAGAATTAAAAGTTGGTTTGAGGAAAAACCAGTCCAGGAGTGCCAAGAGACTCTTTCCTCTCTTTGGGGAGGAAGAGGATTTTAGCAACATCCTTTCATCTTATGCAGCTAAAGGCATGTTTGCACCACAGAGCCCCACAGCTTTAAGGGTAATTCCTTCTCTCCATGGAACTTTTGGTTCTGTAGTTCTTGAAAATGGAGCAAGGAGCCCCCAAGAGAATTCTCTGCATCCCCAGCAAACTACAATTCCCAAAATGTCTTGAGGGAAACTCGTGGCAATCAAACTGGTACCAAGCTAGCATAAATTTGCTCCAGTTATTTTCTTTTCCTGTGCCCAGCACAGCTCCTGCCCCTTATACACTGCATAGATTATACACATCCCTTCCTTTTTAAAAATGTACATTTGACATTTGATGTTTTAAAATCCTAACCGATGACCCAAATCCTCTACTTCATCTCAGGCTGTAGCCATCCTGCCTTGGAAAGTTCCCATGTACCATTTACATATGAAAAAAGGACACACTAGCTGTCCTGGAGTAAGCAAATTGGCTCCAGCGCAACTTTTGGAAGCGTCCTCTGCATTCATAACAGGGCATAATTAAAGAGCTCAGGAGACAGTTGTGAGCTTTGCTTTAGCATGGACCCCACCAGATCCTGTGTGACTATCTTGTTCCTCTGCCTAGAGCCAGACACCTCTGGACTGGGGGAGTTATCTAAATGAGTTACTTCAGGAAACGTCAGGACCAGATTAAAGCCTTACATCTTCATTGGTTTGGCCATTAACAATGGTTCTTTATGGTCATTAATTTGGAGGAGGGGGGCTTCCAAAGTCAAATGACTTCAATGCCACTTCGGGGCCTCCCTTGGAATACTTGCTGTTACCCTGGCTCTGAATGCCTGAGAGACCCTTGTGCGTCTTTAGGATTGTCTCCATGTTCTTCTATGACAGGCACCCAGAGCCCATTTTTGACCACAGGTCACTCCCCACAAAAGCAAAGTGCTAAAATTACCATTGGTTTGCCACTGTAATTTTGGCACTCTGTAGCTGCTACAGAGTGCCAAATTTAGCCTGCAATTTATTTTGCTGTAAGCCACTATGGACACTTTATTTTTCATTTTAAATGCTTTGAGGGCACCAGCAGCTACATGTGGCCTGTAGGCCATGTATTGTGCATCCCCACTTAATGGAGAAGGAAGGGGTTTCCTTCCTTTTTCCATGCCATCCAATCCAAGACAAGGAGTGAACCATGCTGAAAGTTATTGCTCGACTCCTTCCGTGATTTCTTTCTTCTTGATTGCCAGGAAACGCCCACGGGTCTCTTGCATATGAGTGTTATGGCTGTTTCTGGCAAAGAAACACCGTCTGAATTACTCCCTCTCCATGAATTTGGATCCTTTCTGTAGTTCACCTGTTTGCAAGTCCATCCATGCAATCCTTGTATCAGGTCTGCAAAAGGGTGGACATTACTCCTCTGGGAGCTCTCTAAGCTAGAATGCTATGAACCATCCCTGTAACCAGAGACTTGTGAAGCGTTATTGGATTGGATTATTCTGGTTCTTCCAGCTGATTCCATAGTGCTGGATGCAAATTTAGTTATACTTAGAGTAAACCTATTGAAATCCATTTCACTAATTCCATAGATCCATAAAATCAAGTGCCATAGATTTTAGTAGGTTTACCTGAAACATAACTAGATTTAGACTGAAGCCAAAGTTTGCAGATCACCCCAGAGGTCTTCCAATTAAGCACAAAGAAAGCATCCAATCAGCAACCAGGTTGGGGGTGGGGGGTGGGGGAGAATAGAACTTGGTCCAGCTGTCATGATAACAAATGCCCCAGTCAAAATGCAGTTCATCTTTTTGTCACACAGGACCTCTTGGTAGGTTTAGCCCCAGCTCTGAAATGTACATGTATAAACGTCTCATTTCTGCTGCCAAAGCACAAGGGAGAAGAAGGGACAGGGAAACAGATAAAGGCAATTTACCACATCCCTGGGAGTCTGAACTAACAAATATCTGGATCAAAGAGCAAGATATGGGTCAGAAAGCAGAGTGGATTCAGTTTGCATTGTTGAAATGTGTGGTGGGAATTCTATCCCAAGTGATCAGACTTTGAAAGCTTTTACCTTGGGAAGCTTTTTTTTTTTTTTTAATTCCCATTCTTGTTCCAGGTTTCCACACCTCCAAAGCTGGGAGGGATTTCCCCCCATCATGCCAGATAGTGAGACTGCCAAATATTGATTCTCAATCCAGATTTTCTGGTCAATTCTCACATTCTCAGGAAGGACAGATACGGTTGGCTTTGAACTTTGCTTTGGAGCTGAATGTGCATGTGGGTGAAGGGTGTTTGTGTGTAAGGAGCAAAACCCACCACAGTCACTTCCATGCAGTAGCTGTCCTGCCAGGAAGATTCCTCATTTCCCTTTCATCTGTGCTAGTGGTGTGTGTGTGTGTGTGTGTGTTGTGTTGTGGGTGACCTTCTGGTTCTCCTGTCAACAGCGCTCTTTCCCAATGCTCAGCAGGGAAAGTCTCTCTCTCTCTCATTCTCTCTCGCTCTCTCTCTCACTCTCTTTCTCTCTCTCCATGCTTCTGATTAGCACGTGGTCTGGAAGTGCTTTGCAGCCAGCCACTGCAATGTCCTAAAGTCCTTTGAAGTCCTCCTCTGGGAGGGAACAATCGCCAATGGTTCCACTTCTTTGCACCCTGGGGTCAATCGCAGTGGCCCGATGCTTCTGAATGGCTACTATTTCAGCCATTCCTCCAACATTAGGGAGGGACGTTCCGTTCTTTCCGTGATTGCGGTGGTTGTCTTCTTGCATTCCCATTCCTCCTTATGGGCACAGAAACAGCCTTGTCATGGCAGTGTCCATGGAAGCATACCGAGGAGTTAAAAAGGTTAACAACAACAGAGATAATTAAAAATAAAAATAAAGGCTTTAGTGGTCTGCCCAAGCCTGAATGTGAAAGCTGTCAAACCCATGGTTCTGCTGGCAGGTTATATGTGCCATTCTACTTGTTCTCACAGCTAGAATTGGTGCCTTCTCCTTCCTGACAGAGGTGCTGTGCCTTTCACAGGGGCACAACAGCCAGAAATGAAACAGGCACCATGTTCCCCTTCTCCCCTTCTGAGCTTCTGCACACCTGGCAGCTGTTAAGAGACCCAGAGCCCTTGTCAGGGAAAAAGGTGGCATCCTCCTCATAGCCAGCTCCTCAGGTACACTTTGAAAGAGCAGATGCCTCTGTCTACAGAGACATCCAGACATTCCATAGATATCAGAAGTTGGTACATTTCTCTATCTGAGGATCAAGTTTACATTTCTAGTACACGTGGTTTTATAAATCACAAGCTAACCTCTTCAGGTGGTCCTTGTACAGGACAACGTTTTGGATATTTGAGTGAAAGATGAGTTGCACTTTGTCACCAACTTTCATCCTTGCAACAGAAAGGCGGTGGGGGGGGGGATGATTTTTTTCTAGACTACCAGTTTGTAGAAATTTGCAGGTCTTTTTATGTAAGCTATGAAAAAAGTACACCGTTGGGGTCTGCAGGATGTCTGGCACACTATTAGTTCAGTTTGGGCCCTCGCCTTGCAAATACACAACCTTGAACACCTGCGGTGTACAGTCCATAAAGGCTCCTGGGCCTCCGCTCATTAAAGTCAAAGGGCTCTGCCTACAAGAAGGAGTTTGTGCAACAAAGAACAAACTTGTGCACACATCTGTACTTATATAGGAAAGGGCTGTACAATGGCACCTTAAATAACTAGACCAAATGGCTTACTTACTGCCCACAGGGACTAGTCCCACTGGGAATGGAAAGCGTTGGATTCTTAACTATTGGTTTTGCTTTATCCTGCCATAGGTTCTCTTGCTCTCTGACCATTTTCTTTTTATTAAAAAGAAGATCAGAATGTGTGCATGTGTGCACACAAGAGCAAATAAACTTTCTTCCTGTGGGAATGGGGTGTGGGGGTGCTGGCTAAAAATGACATTTTTAAAAAGAAACATGCCAGAATATCTATATTCTGAAAGGCCTGCCTGTCCTAGGATTCTGCTGGTTAAAGAACACACTTTTGAAATCTGAAAGGTTTTAAACCCACAAAATTAAAGAGAAGAGAAGAGAAAACATCATTCAAGTGCTTCTTAGAGCTTCCTACGTCGGTGCTGGCTGAGTGGCAGTGTGGAGTTACATGCAAGCAAGGTGGCCTAGGAGATTCATTTCGGGCCATGTCCCAAGGGAGGAGGTTGGCTTGTTGTCATTGATATTGTCGTCGTCGTCGTCGTCATCTTTGTCAACATCACCTTCCTTTTTTTCTTTTGGCTTACTGTGTTGCCGTTCCTCCTTTAGTCTCTGCTATTGCCATTGAGAGAAGCTGATGACATGCTGCAGATTCCGAGGTCCTCAGTTTCTTAAATGAGATGAAAGGAATTGGTCTCTTAGGGCACCGTGAGGTGTGGGGTGGGTGATGGGTGGGGAAGGGCTCTGGCAGGGAGAGGCAAGAGGGGTAATTCACTCAGTGTTGCCACTATCGAAGCTGTGACACTGGAGGTCTCCGGCTACGTAATCAGTTCCTGGCAGCTTCAGTCCATACTTGTCCACACACCAGCACAGCCCACGTTTCCGGCCCCGGGATGGTTTGCACTAGATACAGAAAACAGAAACAGATAAGCAGTGAGAAGGGGACCAGTGGGAAAGTCACTGCCCACCTGCAATACCTTGATTTTTTCCCTCTTGAACGAAAGTAACTTAAGCCTTTTATTGATCATGAGGATATGGCATTAATGAAACTAGTATGAAAATAGGTAAGGTTTGGCTTCTAGCAAGGGCTGGTAGATTTTTTTCTTTATGGGGGCAGTGGCACTCTGCCCATGTGGATCCTGTGATTATTTTCCCCCTTGGACACAACTAACAGCAGCTTTAGTGCATATATACTTTTTAAATCAGGCAAATGGGAGAGAGGGAAGGATTACCTCCCCATACAATTCTTCCAGCACTATCACTCTGGATTCAAATTCCCCTCTCAGTCCAATTTATCTTTAAAACAAAAACACAAACACAGTGAGTGATCCTCTTCATGGATATCCTCTATTGAGGTAAGTTTGATCCTTAAAGTGCATAACATCATAGGGTGCAGTCTTGGTTTAAGATGGCTTTTGGTACAAAAATTTTTAGATTGGGTTGACTGGTTGAAGACAGTGCTGAAGATGTGTATAGTGTCCTATACACACACAGGGTGACCACGGGAGCTCTTTTATAGAGGGCACTCCTCTCTCTGAAGGGCTTCCCCTCTGAGTCCAGTATAAAGATAAAGAAGTGTGAGGAGGGAACGCAGCCAGAGTGATGAAACAGCCCATCAAAATTGGCCTCTGGACAGCAGACTGCTTATGCACACAGGTTACCTGATCAGTTGACCCCCCTCCCCCCATGGTGAAACTGTATTTCTATTTACCTTATAAAATTATTTCTGAATTCACACACACAAGCAAACACAGTATATGCAAATTGGAGTTCTCTTTCTGTTGAGACGTTTCCTCTGATTTGGCAATGAAGAAGTGGCCAGTCTAACACTGTCCCTGCCCCTAACGCGAAGCAACCCTCTTTGGCTGCAGTCGGAGCTTATACCTGTTTCCTCTTGTAGAAGCCTTTTCTGTCACAGTTGGGAAGGTGGACAGCACGGGGGATCATTCGCTGGCTAGATTTGAACTCCTGCAGGGATGCCTCCATCTGTCTCCGGCAAGGGCCCTGGAAAGAGGGAGCACAAGAAACAGAGAACATGTAGGCCCAGAGAGCTGTTATAAGAAGGCTGAAGTGCTGAGCTCCCAGGGAGGGGCAGCTTAACCAGAATTCTAAGGATGCTGCTGAGTTGGGCACAGCAGTGTGGGGGTGATTCCCACTTATGGGGAACGCAAAGGGCGCACTCCATGATCATCCTTCTGAATGTGCCTACAGCTTCTCACAATGTGCAAGCTGATGCACATTCACATAAGAGGAGGCTGTGAGAGATTGGGACCGGGGATACAGGTGCATTTTTTAAAAGAGAAAATAAAATGGAGTTGGATTGCTTTCGCAATGAAAATGAATCCTGAAAAATGTTCTGAATGAAGTTCTACTAAGCATTCACCTTTTCAGTTGTTTCTATGGGAAAGAAAACAGGGAAGTTGAAATAGCCTGTGCATGATCAAGAAAAATGGTGAATGGTGGAGTTCATGTGAGTGCAGACACACTGAAATGGACAGGTATAAGATGGGATGTCTAAAAAGGGGACATCTTGCTGAACTTTGGCATGCACAATGGCCTCATAGAGTGGACAGTGGAAAACCTGCTTGGAGGAAATGAACTGATGCATGTAACAAGCTGCTGATAGTCAAGAAATCTCAGCACTGTGAACATTACTGTGCAGAGTGTCTTGAACTAGTAGGTGAGAAAAATACGTGCTTCAGCTTCAAATCTCCCACTTATCAGCAGAAATCCCCTCTCTGCAATCTCGCCCTGCTGCCATGATGGTTATGGAGGAGCAGTCGGTGGTAGGAGAACGACAGAAGCAAAGAGATGATGGGACACAGGAATGAAGGGAAAGGAGGAGGTACCTCGTGGAGTTACACTCACCAGTTCAAACTCTGGCCTCAGTTCAGGGGCTGCGACCCGAGGGTGAGCTGTGTTTTCAGCCCCGCCCACAAACTTGGATAAGGTCATCTTCTTCCGACGATCCTTCTTTAGGGCTTCAGCCTTCAGCTCCGTGAGACGCCCATGGCCCTTGTTCCTGTACATTTTAGGTGAGTACGTCTCCTCTGCCATTTCCGATGTGGTTGGCTCTTCATGCTCTCGGGATTCCCTTTCTGGATGTGAGAAAATAAGAAAGAGAATGATCGAGTGGTGTTTGGGTTTACTTGATTCATAATATGAAATGGTTGTTGTTGTTGTTGTTGTTGTAGGAATAGCCATTAAATTCCAGCTACAAGAAAGAAAGATCTGTTGGGTCAAGTAATCATTCAGTTCAGGGACTGAGGGAGAAAGTGATCCATTTTATGCCATTTGACCCTGTAGTTTACAATGTACATCCTGCATTTGTTTCTCTTCCACACTGTATACCTTCCAACTAGGGTTAATACTTCATACATCAGATGAAGCAGGAGTAGGCACCCTTGTGGGATCCAGATGTGTTTGTCTACAACTCCCATCATCCCCAACCAGCATGGCCAGTGCTCAGGAATGATGGGAGTCATTGTCAAAAAATCTGGAGGAGACCGGATTGCCTATCCCCGCTCTAGTCCTTGGAAAAAAATGCCATTAAAAATGTGTTTCTTTTTAAGCCATTATGAGATTCTCCTTGTTTTGCTATAACAAACTTATATGGTTATTCCTCTGATAACGGTTATAAAGATAAAACAGTCCAGCCAGCTGGAACTACGTTCACCTGACTCATTCCAGCTTCTTTAAGCTAGGTTAGCTGCACTAACTGTGGGTGCCATCCTGAACATTCAAGCCACAGCTCCAGCCGGTTGCATTGTCCAGACCTGGGAACCATAGGTTAGGTAAACAACCTGCACAGAACCCATGGCCTGTTTCAGGATTGTGTGAGGGTTGTATAATCATCGCATAACCCATGTTCCAGGGGTCCATGGCTTTAGCTTGGATGTTTGGAATGGCGTTGGCAACCCACATGTGACTTGAATAAGCCTCGGTGGACTGTTCGATCATGCCAGCTGGACCATGCTGCTGCTGGTGAGGTGGCTGTGGTTGGAAGAAACCACCATGCTGAGGGAATCATGGTGCATCATGGGGTCCAGTCAGACAGCAATCACTGAGGCTCCAGCTGGACAGCATGATCTAGATTTTGAGGGTTAGTTTTTGGTGGGGAGTGATTTGTACTAAATGAGAGAATTCTCTGCTCTTGCTGCTGCCTCAGAAGCATTGGCAGAAGCATCATAATAGGGGCCAGATGAAAAGCAATGTTACGTTAATGGCCTTTAATGTCCATTTTCCTTATGCAAATAGCCGCTGTGGGAGAGGAGGAAGCAGGATCAGGACCAGAGCAGGAGGAGGAGAGTTTAACTTGCCTCACACAGCATGAATTTGACAAAAACCTGGGGCAGGAGGGGGGCCCTGTTGCCTGCCGTGCAAACGGCAGTCCAAGCAGCACTTTGAACCCCAGCAGCACTCTGCTTTCCTCTGTTTTCTTTCTAAAACGATTTCAGCTGGTGGAATTTGATGCACAAAGGTAGCTGGCAGGGACGGGAGGATGGGATACTTAACCCTTTGCCTGAGTCGAGACAAGCAAGTGCTGCTGCCTTTGATAAGGTTTTGTCACGCTCAAAGTACATTAGGTGCCAGAAGAGGAAACAGGGTTGCACTTACAAATGACCTTTTGTTCACTTGGGCAAGAAAAGTGCTCAGTCATTACTGCAGCCATCACAGGGAAGGGATAGTAGGTGCAAAGACACAGAATGTCAGGTCTTCACTGAGCCAGCGTTTCTTTGGATTGTACATTTGCTGTTGCTGCTGCTCTAATTTAAGGGGGGTTTCATTTTGTAGTTCCGGAAATCTTGGGGTTCCTCCAAGCATGCCAATACCTCCCTCAGGTTTCCCAGTGGATCCATTTGTAGCTACAATCAGACTGGCACTTGCCAGAAGAATGTGCTATTAGAGGGACCAGCCATCTCCCTTATCAGCACTGTCTCAAGTCAGACGTTCTGATTGTGGCCCACCAGCCACCGAGGAAGCCTGCAAGCAGCCAGAACGCTGATGCCCGAACAGTCCTCTGTGCTTGATCACTGATCATTACTGCTACGAAAGGGAATGTTGCTTTTCTGGGCAACATAGGCCTGGCTTGCAGCCATCTTTCCTCCTGCATTTATTGAAGCCTTTTGGAGAGTAATAGATGCTACTGGCCTTCCCACCTTCCTGCGGCAGTGATTCCCAAGGGAAAATTCATCCTGCCTCTTAAGTTTGCTGCCTGTATGTTCAGACTCCCTGTTCCCAGACAATTTGATCTTATTAACAGATGGTCATTTTCAGAGTGGATTTATATATAGGAACAACTTGGTGACAGCCTATACTTAGCTAACTTGTGACCTTTAATACAGGCCTTAGAGCAAAAGGGGGTTATTTTTGGTTCTAGATTTGCATAAAGTTCTCACTGCCAGGGACGATGGAATCCCGCACTGTCCCTTTCCGCCAGACCCACTTAGAGTGCTACTAGAGCTGCTGAGAGGTGGGGTGGGTATGGAGAAGCCCCACAAGGAAGTGCAGACAGGACAGAAGAATAGAAGCTTTGCTTCCCACAATCTTGCAGGGACACAGCCTTCCAAGTTCACCTCCAAAGTTGGAGCCTGCACAGGTGACCCAATTTGTGCTTACATGTGCATCAGCAAACTTGCCAGAGAGGAGCAGCACTTTCACCCTGCTTTTTCTTCAAAAACAAAACAGAACAAAACACTATTCTCCCACCTACAGTAAGCACTTCAGCAAGGGTAGAGGACTCCTCTCATGTTTAATATGTCATCGTTGCCCCTAGGTTCAGTGGGAATTACTTTCAAGTATATACACACAGCGTTGCAGCCTTACCTACTATTCACTTCTTGGCAGAAGTAAGAACATAAGAAGAGAGACGTTGGATCAGACCAAGGGTCCATCTAATCCAGGCTGAGTCTGCACAGTGGCCAACCACCTGCCCACAGGATCCCACAAGCACGTTATGAATGCCACAGGCCCCTCCTGCCAAGCTCCTCAGCAACTGGCATATGACCTGTCTGGGGGTCTGGATGTTCCTTTGCATATCTGTGGTGCTGCAGTAGATGAGGGTTAGGCTGAAGCACCAGCGGGACCTCTCCTGGACAGAAAAAGGCCAGTTCTGCACAATCACTGAGGAAAAGGAGTCCCAGTGGCTTATTTTCCCTGCCCTACATCTGCAGGCTGCATGAGGCAGAATTTGCCTAATTAATCATATGGTGTGTGGGTTTCCATGTTGTTTGAACCTACCAAGGTGTGTGGTTGGGGTGGGCTCCAAACTATCCCAGAACCCATGGCTTATTTGAGGGTTTTGTAACCATCTCCTGCTTCCCTCTGAGGTAAGAAAGGTGATGGCACCTGTTTATGAAGTCCCCACTCCAAGGAGCCTGGCCTACTGCCAACATTTTTTTTTTTTTTTGGCATCAAGGACATTTCCCCTGCCCAAATCTTTTATCTTTTTTTAATATGCTGGTTTGAACCTATATTTTATCTTGTTTTGTAAAATGGCCTAAGTGGATGGGAAGACTGAGGGTACACACAGGGCTGTCTTAACAGCGTTACGGGACCCGGGCAAAGCAGTGCACTGGGGCCCCTATGACAACTACAACTACTGTTAATTTTGGAAGTTTTCCCATTTTCCAAGGGTTAACATACACAGATTAGTATGGGGCCCACGGGCAAGTGCCCATCAGGCTCATGCGTTAAGACGGCCCTGGGTACACGAAGCAACTTACCCCGCCTCCCACTGCAGCTGGGAATTCAAAGGCCCAGACATGGTCTCCAGGTTATGACCAAGAAACCCAAAGCCAAACTGAAAGGTGTAGGATTCACATTTAAGAGCAGAGAATTAGGCAATTAGTCATTCTTGGGTCAGTTCATACCACCCAGGTTACCTCCCATTCCCTCTAACCCTTAGCCCTGCATTAAAAGATCAACTCCTTCAAAATGAAGATAAAATTGTGCTCATTACTTCTGAGTCATTTAAGCGGCTAGTGCAAGAATCATCAACCTCTGTAACTTTAAGTGAAAAAATCTGGAAGCTTCACTTGGTGCAAAATATAGCAGCCAGGAGGGGCACATGGTATTAAGACCATATTACACCTCTCCTGAAGGAGCGGCACTAGTTGCCAATGTATGTTCCTGGCACAATTAAACATATTGGCTTTAACTTTTAAAGTCTTAAAGGATTTATGCTCTGCCTGCCTAAGAGACCATCAGTCTCCCTGTGAACCTCCCTGGATGCTAAGATCTGTGAAAAAAGATCTTTTGAAGATGCCATGGCCAGCAGACACCTGTTCACTGGGTTGTGTGAAAGGCCTTTCTCCTGTGTTGTCTCCAGATGATGGCATGAATTCCCTCAAGAACTACAAGGCCCTTGGCTTTTAGAGGGGGATGTGAAGCCAAACCCCTTTCATTTTACCCTTTAAAGTGTGCAGTTGTTTTAACAGTCAAACATTTTGCTGTTTAAAATGTTTGTGTTTTTAATTGTTTTATTCTTTGAATTAGTATACATCATCTTGATCTAAATCTAATCTCGGTCTAATTGTTATATAAATCAATATCTCAGTGTGAAATAAAAAGTTAAAAATATACACAAACTGTTGGGTTCTCTCCCTGCCCCCCCTTTGGTAACAGCCATGAAGAGTGGAGGAAAAAAGGGTAAATAACCCATTTTAAGGAGCCATGGTTTGATGCGAAATGACTTTGGAAGCACTTTGTCAAAGGAGAATCAAAATGCCCCGTCTGCACCCCTGATCTCTCTAAAGCAAACATTTTGCACTCTGAATAGCGACTCCATTGTAAATTCCACATGCAGTGGGATAAGGAGGCATAGGCAGCGTAGCTTTTGCACAGGTCTTCCTGATCATCTGTACTGATTTACACACAGACATATTGCAGAAATAAAATGGGGTGAGAAATTGGCACAGAGATAAAATGCGGAGAACAATTTCAGCTGCTACTTTATTATGTTTGAGGCTACTGTTAAAGGCATGGGGGCTCAGACACTTTAAAGGGTAAGCAGAAGCCGGCAACCCTAACTAATTGCAAAGGGGTATATCTGGCAGTAACCACATGGGGAACTTTGCACTGCTTGAGCCAAAACAGT